TGACAAAACGGATGGCACTGTGATAGACTACATCCAATTTGCTGAGTAGAGTGTTGGAAGCTATTTTGTAAATGACATCGCCGAAGTCAAGGATCGGTAGGATAGTCAGTTTTACGAGGGCATGTTTAGCAGCATGAGTGAAGGAGGCTTTGTTGCGAAATAGGAAGCAGATTCTAGATTTAACTTTGGATTGGAGATGCTTAATGTGAGTCTGGAAGGAGAGTTTACGGTCTAGGTATTTGTAGTTGTCCACATATTCTAAGTGAGACCCGCCGAGAGTAGTGATTCTAGTCGGGCGGGCGGGTGCAAGCAGCGTTCGATTGAAGAGCATGCATTTAGTTTTACTAGCGTTTAAGAGCAGTTGGAGGCCACGGAAGGAGTGTTGTATGGCATTGAAGCTTGTTTGGAGGTTTGTTAACACAGTGTCCAATGAAGGGCCAGATGTATACAAAATGGTGTCGTCTGCGTAGAGGTGGATCTGAGAGTCACCAGCAGCAAGAGCGACATCATTGATATACACAGAGAATAGAGTCGGCCCGGGAATTGAACCCTGTGGCACCCCCATAGAGTGCCAGAGGTCCAAACAACAGGCCCTCCGATTTGACACATTGAACTCTATCTGAGAAGTAGTTGGTGAACCAGGCGAGGCAGTCATTTGAGAAACCAAGGCTATTTAGTCTGCCAATAAGAATGCGGTGATTGACAGAGTCAAAAGCCTTGGCCAGGTCGATGAAGACGGCTGCACAGTACTGTCTTTTATCGATCGCGGTTATTATATTGTTTAGGACCTTGAGCGTTGGTGAGGTGCACCCATGACCAGCTCGGAAACCGGATTGCATAGCGGAGAAGGTACGGTGGGATTCGAAATGGTCGGTGATCTGTTTGTTAACTTGGCTTTCAAATACTTTCGAAAGGCAGGGCAGGATGGATATAGGTCTGTAACAGTTTGGATCTAGAGTGTCACCCCCTTTGAAGAGGGGGATGACCATGGCAGCTTTCCAATCTCTGGGGATCTCAGACGTTACGAAAGAGAGGTTGAACAGGCTAGTAATAGGGGTTGCGACAATTTCGGCAGCTAATTTTAGAAAGAAAGGGTCCAGATTGTCTAGCCCAGCTGATTTGTAGGGGTTCAGATTTAGCAGCTCTTTCAGGACAACAGCTATCTGAATTTGGGTGAAGGAGAAGCAGGGAGGGCAAGTTGCAGTGGAGGGTGCAGAGCTGGTGGCCGGGGTAGGGGTAGCCAGGTGGAAAGCATGGCCAGCAGTGTTTCCTAGCCTCAGTGCAGTGGGTAGCTGGGAGGAGGTTCTCTTATTCTCCATGGACTTTACAGTGGTGACAGTGTTTCCTAGCCTCAGTGCAGATGGTAGCTGGGAGGAGGTTCTCTTATTCTCCATGGACTTTACAGTGCCCCAAATCTTTTTGGAGTTAGTGCTACAGGATGCACATTTCTGTTTGAAAAAGCTAGCCTTTGCTTTCCTAACTGATTGTGTATATTGGTTCCTGACTTCCATGAAAAGTTGCATATCGCGGGAGCTGTTCGATGCTGGTCAAGGGCAGTCAAGTCTGGGGTGAACCAGGGGCTATATCTGTTCTTAGTTCTGAATTTTTTGAATGGGGCATGCTTATTTAAGGTGAGAACATCAACAACTTATTTCAGATTTAAGAACATCCAGGCATCCTCTACTGACGGAATGAGGTCAATATCCATCCAGGATACCCGGGCCAGGTCAATTAGAAAGGCCTGCTCGCTGAAGTGTTTAGGGAGCGTTTGACAGTGATGAGGGGTGGTCGTTTGACCGCGGACCCATTACGGACGCAGGCAATGAGGCAGTGATCGCTGAGATCCTGTTTGAAGACAGCGGAGGTGTATTTAGAGGGTAAATTAATCAATTAGGATGATATCTATGAGGGTGCCCATGTTTACGGATTAAGGGTTGTACCTGGTAGGTTCCTTGATAATTTGTGTGAGATTGAGGGCATCTAGTTTAGATTGTAGGATGGCCGGGGTGTTAAGCATATCCCAGTTTAGGTCACCAAGCAGGATAGATGGGGGGCAAGCAATTCACATATGGTGTCCAGGGCACAACTGGGTGCAGAGGGGGGTCTGTAACAAGTGGCAACAGTGACAGACTTATTTCTGGAAAGATGGATTTTAGAAGTAGAAGCTCAAACTGTTTGGGCACAGACCTGGATAGTATGATAGAGCTCTACAGTAGATTGCAACTCCGCCCCCTTTGGCAGTTCTATCTAGATGGAAAATGTTGTAGTTCGGAATGGACATATCTGAATTTTTGGTGGCCTTCCTAAGCCAAGATTCAGACACTGCTAGAACATCAGGGTTGGCAGAGTGTGCTGACGCAGTGAATAACTCAAACTTGGGGAGGAGACTTCTGATGTTAACATGCAAGAAACCAAGGCTTTTACGGTTACAGAAGTCAACAAATGATAGCGCCTGGGGAGTAGGAGTGATACTGGGGGCTACAGGGCCTGGGTTAATCTCTACATCACCAGAGGAACAGAGGAGGAATAGAATAAGGATACGGCTAAAGGCTGTAAGAACTGGTTTTCTAGTGTGTTGGGTACAGAGAAAAGGGGCAGATTTTCGGGCGTTGTATAATAGATTCAGGGCATTATGTACAGACAAGGATACGGAAGGATATGAGTACAGTGGAGGTACACCTAAGCATTTGGTAACTATGAAAGAGATTGCATCACTGGAGGTACCGATTGAGCCGGTCTCCGCGTGTATGTAGGGTGGGAGAAAGGAGCTCTCTGAGGCTGGTTGAGCTGAACTTGGGGCTCTACAGTGAAATTGTATAATAAGAACTAACCCAAACAGCAATAGGCTAGGCATATTGACATGGGAGAGAGGCATAACGCAATCACAGGTGTTACTCGAGAGGGCTAAGACAATAACTGGTAATGGCGACGAAAGTTTGGGCTGAGGCTAAACAGATAAACAGGATGGGGTACTGTGTAAAGGAACAGTCCAGTAGGCATTAGCTGTGTAACTGAGTGATCATAAGGTCCAGTGAACAGCACTAAGTAAGTCCATGAGCAGATTGTAGGCTGCTAAAGCACAGGCAAGCAGGAGGCACGGCTGTTGATTGCGTGTGCTAGCAGGCCGGGGCTAGCAGATTGATCTTCGTGGTCGTCGCAACGGGAAGCCTGTTGAAACCACATCAGACGATTACGTCGGCAGAGCAGTCGTGATGGATCGGCGGGGCTCCGTGTCGACACTAGGAGGTCCCGTCCGGTTGACAGAGAGGTAGATAGCCAGGAGATGGGCCTGGCTCGAGGCTAGCTCAAGGCAGACTGGTACGTCGGGAAGTGGTGATTAGCCAACAACAGCCATTTGGTTGCAGCTAGCTAGTTGCGATGGTCCGTGGTTAAGGTCCAGTGATTCAGTGATTCTGGCAGAAAATCCGATATGCTCTGGGTCGATAGCACGCTGTGCAGACTGGCCGATAATTGTCCAGGCTATAGCTGGCTGGTAGGTAGTGCAGGCCATGGACAGTGGTAAAGACCGCTAACGGTGGCTAATAGCAAGTAGCTAGTTAGCTGGCTAGGTGGCTAGTTTCAGCCGTAGGTTCTTGATAAAAATAAAGAAATAATAGAATCCGTTCCACATTGGGTGAGGTGGGTTGCAGGAAAGTATATTTAGTTAAAGGATGGAAAGTGAGATAGAGAAATATATACGAATAAAAGACAAAAAACTAAAAAACAGGCTATTTACATGAGGACATAACACAATACACGACCGCACTACTACGCCATCTTGGAAGCTTTTAGAATGTATGTCTCACATTCAGATGTTTCCAATCCATCTCTTTGAGGTCTATATTTGCATGGTCAGACAGTTTCCTTGGATACGCATAAGGGTGTTGTTGATGTTGTTGTCATCGTCAAATGTTCTGTCTCTGTAATTGTCTGGGAGTGTTGGTGGTGGTTAAATGCTTCCATTGATCTGTATGCCATGATAGTGTCACAGTCTCCTCTCTGCTCCTATAGTCCACCCAATGTAATGTTGTAACTGTTGTTGAGACTGAAATCTCACTATACTAGCCCGACAAACTTAAATTGACTTATACTAATTGGTGGATCGGAAAAAACATCCTCAGACTTGGTTACGTCTTGGTGCAATGCATTTAGAATGGAACGTGAGATTGTAGGGCGCTAACTTTGCATTAAACTACATCATTATGCATTTCGGAGAGGCTTTAGTCACAGTGGGAAGGCAACATTTACCTTCATGATGAAACAATTTGAAGCCAATTACAGAATACGTAAAACGGTACTTGGCCACATTGGCCATGTTTTCAAGGCCAAATATATGAGTAACCGTTCTTTTTTTTTTTTTACCTGACTAATTTGCTTAAAGTGAGGAGCTTTTTAACGGGGGGCTTAGAAAGGGTCGCCGCAAGGGCTACTTTCGTCAGGGTTTTAATAGGGTTGATCAAAGATGGGAGTTGGAGTGTGCTTGAGTTAATTTAAGTTCAGAGGAGCGCAATTACATGTAACCATGATCTTCTCGGTTTAATTGAAAGGGATTTTCTAATATTTAAAGTCCCAATGCAGCCGTTCTTATCTCAATATCAATAGTATATTTCTTTTTATTATAGATTTCAAACGTACAATTGCATAATTGTAACAGCTCCAACTCCCACGCACCCCAATCCCACCCACCTTTCCATCCCAGGGAATAATAATATTTTAAAATAGTATTAATATAATAATAATGTTGGATCATGTCATAAATGAGTGAATATATGGTCTATAAGTAGAAAATACACATCTGCAGGAAAAAACATTTATAAAACAGACTGTAATAGTATTTTTAAATAATAAAAACGATTTAAATAATAAAAAGAAAGAAGAAAAAGTAGTAGATAAGAGTGAAATAAAGGGTTGCCAAAGGGAGTAGAACCTGTCTGTTAATCCTCTCAAGGTGAAGTTGATATTTTCTAATTTAAGAATAATATAATGTATTCGAGACACACAGCTAGGGAGGGAGGGGCTGCGGATTTCCAGAAAACAGAGATGAACCAGAAGAGTTGTGAATGCAATAATATGAGAGTATTTACATGATATAAGAGGGGGTCTTCTACAGCTCCAAAAATAGTAACATGGGGTGATGGTTGAAGTTGAATAGGTAAAACCTGTGACAAGGTTTCAAAGATTGAAGTCCAGAAACTTATCAGTTTGGAGCAAGACCAGAACATGTGTGTGAGGTTAGCAGGAGACTGGGCGTAGCGATCACACTTGTCGTCTAAATCACGGTATATCTCTACTAATCTGGACTTTCTCATGGAGCACCTTATGGAGCACCTTAAACTGGATTAATCTAAGTCGAGCACAGGAAGAGGACGAATTTACTATTTTTATAGCGCTTTCCCACCAGTCCTCTGCAAGTTCTATGTTCAACTCAACTTCTCCCCACTTCTCCCTAGTTCTCTTAAGGGAGGTGTTTTCGAAGCACATAAGACACAAGTACATGTAAAGTGGGGAAAAAAAGTATTTAGTCAGCCACCAATTGTGCAAGTTCTCCCACTTAAAAAGATGAGAGAGGCCTGTAATTTTCATCATAGGTACACGTCAACTATGACAGACAAAATGAGATTTTTTTTCCAGAAAATCACATTGTAGGATTTTTTATGAATTTATTTGCAAATTATGGTGGAAAATAAGTATTTGGTCAATAACTAAAGTTTCTCAATACTTTGTTCTATACCCTTTGTTGGCAATGACACAGGTCAAACGTTTTCTGTAAGTCTTCACAAGGTTTTCACACACTGTTGCTGGTATTTTGGCCCATTCCTCCATGCAGATCTCCTCTAGAGCAGTGATGTTTTGGGGCTGTCGCTGGGCAACACGGACTTTCAACTCCCTCCAAAGATTTTCTATGGGGTTGAGATCTGGAGACTGGCTAGGCCACTCCAGGACCTTGAAATGCTTCTTACGAAGCCACTCCTTCGTTGCCCGGGCGGTGTGTTTGGGATCATTGTCATGCTGAAAGACGTTTCATCTTCAAAGCCCTTGCTGATGGAAGGAGGTTTTCACTCAAAATCTCATGATACATGGCCCCATTCATTCTTTCCTTTACACGGATCAGTCGTCCTGGTCCCTTTGCAGAAAAACAGCCCCAAAGCATGATGTTTCCACCCCCATGCTTCACAGTAGGTATGGTGTTCTTTGGATGCAACTCAGCATTCTTTGTCCTCCAAACACAACGAGTTGAGTTTTTACCAAAAAGTTATATTTTGGTTTCATCTGACCATATGACATTCTCCCAATCCTCTTCTGGATCATCCAAATGCACTCTAGCAAACTTCAGACGGGCCTGGAAATGTACTGGCTTAAGCAGGGGGACACGTCTGGCACTGCAAGGATTTGAGTCCCTGGCGGCGTAGTGTGTTACTGATGGTAGGCTTTGTTACTTTGGTCCCAGCTCTCTGCAGGTCATTCACTTGGTCCCCCCGTGTGGTTCTTGTGATCATTTTGACCCCACGGGGTGAGATTTACATTTACATTTACGTCATTTAGCAGACGGTCTTATCCAGAGCGACTTACAAATTGGTGCATTCACCCTATAGCCAGTGGGATAACCACTTTACAATTTTTTTTTATTATTTTTTTTTAAATATTTGTTTTTGGGGGGGGGGGGGGGGGGGGGGGGGGGTAGAATGATTACTTTATCCTATCCCAGGTATTCCTTAAAGAGGTGGGGTTTCAAATGTCTCCGGAAGGTTGTGAGTGACTCCGCTGTCCTGGCGTCGTGAGGGAGCTTGTTCCACCATTGGGGTGCCAGAGCAGCGAACAGTTTTGACTGGGCTGAGCGGGAACTATGCTTCCGCAGAGGAAGGGGAGCCAGCAGGCCAGAGGTGGATGAACGCAATGCCCTCGTTTGGGTGTAGGGACTGATCAGAGCCTGAAGGTACGGAGGTGCCGTTCCCCTCACAGCTCCATAGGCAAGCACCATGGTCTTGTAACAGATGCGAGCTTCAACTGGAAGCCAGTGGAGTGTGCGGAGGAGGGGGGTGACGTGAGAGAACTTGGGAAGGTTGAACACCAGACGGGCTGCGGCATTCTGGATGAGTTGTAGGGGTTTAATGGCACAGGCAGGGAGCCCAGCCAACAGCGAGTTGCAGTAATCCAGACGGGAGATGACCAGTGCCTGGATTAGGACCTGTGCCGCTTCCTGTGTAAGGCAGGGTCGTACTCTCCGAATGTTGTAGAGCATGAACCTGCAGGATCGGGTCACCGCCTTGATGTTAGCGGAGAACGACAGGGTGTTGTCCAGGGTCACGCCAAGGCTCTTCGCACTCTGGGAGGAGGACACAACGGAGTTGTCAACCGTGATGGCGAGATCATGGAACGGGCAGTCCTTCCCCGGGAGGAAGAGCAGCTCCGTCTTGCCAGGGTTCAGCTTGAGGTGGTGATCCGTCATCCATACTGATATGTCTGCCAGACATGCAGAGATGCGATTCGCCACCTGGTTATCAGAAGGGGGAAAGGAGAAGATTAGTTGTGTATCGTCAGCGTAGCAATGATAGGAGAGGCCATGTGAGGATATGACAGAGCCAAGTGACTTGGTGTATAGGGAGAAAAGGAGAGGGCCTAGAACTGAGCCCTGGGGGACACCAGTGGTGAGAGCACGTGGTGCGGAGACAGCTTCTCGCCACGCCACTTGGTAGGAGCGACCGGTCAGGTAGGACGCAATCCAGGAGTGAGCCGCGCCGGAGATGCCCAGCTCGGAGAGGGTGGAGAGGAGGATCTGATGGTTCACAGTATCAAAGGCAGCAGACAGGTCTAGAAGGACAAGAGCAGAGGAGATAGAGTTAGCTTTAGCAGTGCGGAGAGCCTCCGTGACACAGAGAAGAGCAGTCTCAGTTGAATGACCAGTCCTGAAACCTGACTGGTTTGGATCAAGAAGGTCATTCTGAGAGAGATAGCAAGAGAGTTGGCTAAAGACGGCACGCTCAATAGTTTTGGAAAGAAAATAAAGAAGGGATACTGGTCTGTAGTTGTTGACATCAGTGGGATCGAGTGTTGGTTTTTTGGAGAAGGGGGTGCAACTCTCGCTCTCTGAAGACGGAAGGGACATAGCCAGCGGTCAAGGATGAGTTGATCAGCGAGGGTGAGGTAGGGGAGAAGTCACCGAGAGATGGTCTGGAGAAGAGAGGAGGGGGGATGGGGTCAAGCGGACAGGTTGTTGGGTGGACCTGCAGTCACAAGGCGTAAGATTTTTATCTGGGCAGAGAGAGGGGAGAGAAGTCAAAGCCTAGGGGTAGGGGAGTGTGAGCAGGACCAGCAGTGTCATTTAGCTTAACAAAACGAGGATCGGATGTCGTCAACCTTCTTTTCAAAGTGGTTGACGAAGTCATCCACAAGAAGGGAGGAGGGGGGGGGGGGGGGGGGGGGGGTGGGTGGGGGGGGGGGGGGGGGGGTGGGGGGGGGGGTGTGTGTGGGGGGGGGGGGGGGAGGATTCTTAGTTTTTTTTTTTTCGTTTTTTTGTTTTTTTTTTGTGTAGTTTTTTTTTTTTTTTATTTTATTTTTGTGTTTGCTAAAGAGTTTCTTCTAGGGTTAGAGCAGATGCTTGGAATTTAAGTGAGGTAGAAGGCCTAGCAGCAAACAGATGAAGAAAATGTAGAGAGGAGGGAGTGAAAAGATGCCAGGCAATGAGTCATCAAGCCACGGAGCTGGAGGGGAGGACCGAGCCGGCCGGGAGGATAGGGGACACAGGGAGTCAAAGGATGCAGAAAGGGAGGAGATGAGGGTTGAGGAGGCAGAATCAGGAGATTGGAGGGAGAAGGATTGAGCAGAGGGAAGAGATGATAGGATGGAAGAGGAGAGAGTAGTGGGAGAGAGAGAGCGAAGGTTGCGGCGGCGCGTTACCATCTGTGTAGGGGCAGAGTGAGTAGTGTTGGAGGAGAGCGAGAGAGAAAAGGATACAAAGTAGTGGTCGGAGACATGGAGGGGAGTTGCAGTGAGATTAGTAGAAGAGCAACATCTAGTAAAGATGAAGTCAAGCGTATTGCCTGCCTTGTGAGTAGGGGGGGACGGTGAGAGGGTGAGGTCAAAAGAGGAGAGGAGTGGAAAGAAGGAGGCAGAGAGAAATGAGACAAATGTAGACGTAGGGAGGTTGAAATCCCCCAAAACTGTGAGGGGTGAGCCATCCTCAGGAGATCTTGCATGGAGCCCAGATCGAGGGAGATTATCAGTGGTCTTGTATGTCTTCCATTTCCTAATAATTGCTCCCACAGTTGATTTCTTCAAACCAAGCTGCTTACCTATTGCAGATTCAGTCTTCCCAGCCTGGTGCAGGTCTACAATTTTGTTTCTGGTGTCCTTTGACAGCTCTTTGGGCTTGGCCATAGTGGAGTTTGGAGTGTGACTGTTTGAGGTTGTGGACAGGTGTCTTTTATACTGATAACAAGTTCAAACAGGTGCCATTAATACAGGTAACGAGTGGAGGACAGAGGAGCCTCTTAAAGAAGAAGTTACAGGTCTGTGAGAGCCAGAAATCTTGCTTATTTGTAGGTGACCAAATACTTATTTTCCACCGTAGTTTGCAAATAAATTCATTAAAAATCCTACAATGAGATTTTCTGGATTTTTTTCCTCAATTTGTCTGTCATAGTTGACGTGTACCTATGATGAAAATTACAGGCCTCTCTCATCTTTTTAAGTGGGAGAATTTGCACAATTGGTGGCTGACTAAATACTTTTTTTCCCCACTGTATGAGATCAACCCTTTATGGACAGGTACAATTTTATGCAGTTTGTAACGTGGCAATGTCACCTGCAGGTTGGGGAAGGAATAATATTGAGTATGAATGTAGTACCTGACTTGGAAGTAGCGGAAGAGGTTGTTGAGTGGCAAACCATGTTTGAAACAAAGATTGTTAAAACCGCAGAGGACAAGGCTTATCAAGCCTTTGTTTTTCCACATAGAAAAGGCAGAATCCCATGCACAAGGGGGGAACAAATGGTTGTTCCAAATGGGTTCTAGTACAGAGGGGTCTTTAAAACCAAAATGGTTCCGAAACTGTGTCCAGATTTTAAGAGAAGAAATTACAAGTAAATTGGGATGCAGTAATGGGTGTAGTTGATCTAACAAAGGCAGAGACAGAGGAAAGGTGGCAGGACCAAGCTTCTATAAGGCACTAGTCTGTCTCAGGGGCATGAAGTCAAAATGTGAGTTTTTGAATGTTAGCAGCCCAATAATAGAATATCAAATTACGTAAAGCTAAAACACCTTCAGGGCATCTTATTTTAAGTGTTTGTTTTTTTATTCTTGGAGGTTTGCTATTCCAGAGATTTAAAAAATTATTTTGGTAGAAACAAGGGGAGACTTTGAAACGTATTCATTTTATACATTGTATTCTCCCAACTAAAGATAAGCTATTCCTTTGAAAGTCAAGTTTCATCTGCTCAACTAGACCCTTACAAAAATGACAAATTTGCTGCAAACTAAATAGTGTGCCACAAAATGTTGCAAGAGGTTTGCAAACGTTTGCCAACAGTGGTGAATCTGCCTCATATCTAAGCTAACATATTGAATTGTTTTAAGATTGCCATACCAAGGATTATTTAGCTATTTGATTGAGAATTTTAAGAACCCTTAAGGTATCAATTTGTTTTTATATAAAACAATTATTGGATGAAATATTGAATTTGGCATTACTGCTATTAGCCAATAGAAACACATTTAATAACAGATTCATGACATGAAAGAAAAGTCCCACAAAAAATCTAAAATAAATGTGTTTTGAAGTGTCTGTCCTATATCTGAGAGATATAAGAAACATCAGCAAACTAGAAAAAAAATATTGACGTATTTTCCCCGTTATTTTAGGCTCTAAACTATCTCCATATATACTTTCATTCATTTTTTAAACTGGTACCGGGGACGTTTAGACGAGGCTTGTGAGGCTTGTGGGTGTCCTAGAGCAAAACGGAGAACACCATCATGTTCGTGAGAGTCTCTTTGAATAGAGTGGTCATAATAGTTTTTAGGCCAAACCATTCGGACGCTTCAGACGTTTTCATGAGAAGACAGATTTTCGGGATGTCTCATGGTCTGACAAACAATGCTCTAGCTCTGCCACCTTTCACCGCAGATGCGGAAGGGGGATATTGGCGCATGCGGTGGATTGAGACGCAGCCCATGCAAAAAAACGGATATATCTAGCTTAAACTGACAGATCTTTATAGGACTTTTTATTATTATGCTAATTCGATTTTCAGGGGCGCGGACATCGACCTTAGGGGGTTTAAACAGATGGATTTTGATGGGGAGTTTTTTATTACGTTAATTTGATTTCCATGGGGGCTGGGACATTGTAGGCTAAGGCTAATTAAACTTCCTATTACACTTTAAAATGGTATTAGCTAAACGATGCTTACTTAGCAATGTCATGTTTTATGGGATAGAGTGAAACGCATTTTGTTGATACCAGTTTCAATCTGTCAGTACCACTGACTAGCTAGCGCTTAGCTAGCTAACGTTAGCTATCATATTTTTGTACAATTCATGTGATAGGTAGCTAGCTAACTAATGATTTGCCTAAAAACTTATATTTTTAGGTGAAAATGTTGCTGTCTTTTAATACCAAAATGCATGTCAATATGCTAGTGTCACGGTTCAGTAGCATGTTAGCTAGCACAACAGCTAAGGTAGCTAGCTAGCTAGCAACAATATGAGTTGATTTGACATCAAAGCAAAACTTCACTTTTGCAGATGAATGCCCTTCCCCTACCCGTGGTGTTGGAAGAGGCTGTATTGGGAGGAGGATGCATCAACACCCTGGAAATATGTTTGTGGTGCACTTACTCATAACACTTTTTGAGTGATAAATGAGTGTATCATCATCAAGATTGATAAGATAAGTAAATGCATGTATTAGTCTCAAAAATGTAGCGCATACTGTACATTCATTCTTCGTAACAATTAGATATTTAATTGCTTTAAATTAGTAGCTAGCTCATCTTGATCATGTATTGTTCCTTCTCTCTTTCTAGAAGCAATCAGTTACAAGGCAAAAGTACAGATTGAGGACCGAGAAATGTGTGCACCAGACAGGTCAAGACTTCTTGCATGCATGGCTTTGAGATTAAATGTTGGATTGTTTGGATGACCCAATTGCTGGGTTGCAGGCAGTGGGTCAATAGTTGGGTTGTTTTCTGTAAATACAGCAAGGTTGGGTTGTTGGTGCTGTGTTATTAAGGTTGGGCTATGGATATTTGACTCAGTCAGTAGGTTAATTCTCCTGCCACCAGCGTGTGAAGTCCACCAGAATACTTGCAAGTATTCTAGTTCTACTGCGACCGAGTGACTGAAGAGTGGAAAATGGCTAACATTATTTCGACAAACTAATGGTGTTTTGGCCTACTGAAAACTGAAAACGGTAAGTAACAAACTGTACAAATTATGAATTTGATGGTCATTCAGGAGAAATAGGTTGTCCTATCATAATTAGGTAGCAAAGGGTTAAGGATCTAATTAGTCTGTAGTGGAAATACATAGGAAGAAGAGAGATCATGATACTGAAAGCAGTGGAGCGTCTAGTGTAGAAAGCAAAAAGAGGGTCACGGTAGGAAGCAACATTAATAATGTGTCGGAGTGGAAAGTTGTGATGGTGTTTTCACCCTATCTGACTAACTAATGCCATAGAGAAAGAGTGCAGCATTTGGTGGATGCCAGATGCAGAAAGAAGTTAGTGGGTATTTATTTGGTTTTGAATTTTATTTTCATGTTAGTACAGAATTGGGCAGATCATGATTTATCGTACATTCCAGCACAGTAGGCGGCGGTATGCCCTTGCTCACTCCCTTGCCTTTGTTGAACCATTTGACCTGGCTTATCAACCCTTCCCTCAAAGTATTTAATTTAGAAATGTTGGTGAAACTATCCCTTAAAATCTCCCCCCTAGCGGTTAAGCCTAGCGGTTAAGAGCATTGGGCCAGTAACTGATAGAATCCTCGAGCCAGCAAGGTGGAATACTCTGCCGTTCTGCCCATGAGCAAGGCAGTTAACCCCCAAAGACAACTGCTCCCCGGGCGCCGAAGACATGAATGTCGAATAAGGCAGCACCTCTCTGATTGAGGGGTTGGGTTAACCTCTTAAATGTAATGGCAAAATGTAGATTTCCGCCTAAATAGACATACTCAAAAGTAACTGCTATTCATGTGTAATTACATGATTCCGACATGCCAAAACTTGCAAACAGTAACACTTTGGAGACAAAGGCAGAGGTGATAACCACAAATAAACAATGGCCATGAGAGTTTAGTGGCCTCTCCAAAGTTACAAGGATGAAACTTAGAACAGTAAACAGTGAACTAATATGAAACATAGACAATAACTACTTTGGAATTATATAACATTGAAATTACTTGTTACATAGGCCTATGTAAACTAAATCTAAAGCATAAAAAGCAGACAACATATACAAAAATTAAATACATATAGTAAATTAGCTATATAAAGTCATGAAAATACTTTACTTACAGATCTAAAAGTGGATCCAATCCTTCTAGAAAGCAATCTTCGTTGGCCGAATCGAAATACTCGTTGTCCAAATCGCTCCCCTGATCCGAGTCCGACCAGTATTTTATTCAAAGCTTCTATGTCGGTATACTTATTCATAGCTGCCTTCTTTTTAGCTTCCTCTTCGATATAATCTTTTCCCCACCTTGAGAAGCCATATTTTATGCTAACGCGATGAAATTAAAGCGATGAAATCTGTTTACAATGTAATGTAGTGTGCTCGGTGCGTCTCATCTCTGAGCCAGGTAGCAATAGTTCGCATAACGTATAAAAGGTTCTAGGCCTTGCTTTGTCCCACCCAGGGGGGATGGTGGTTCAATGCAAATAGTCCGGGTAGCCATTTGAAAAGCTGTTCAGGAGTCTTATGGCTTGGGGGTAGAAGCTGTTAAGAAACCTTTTGGTCCTAGACTTGACACTCTGGTACCACTTGCCGTGCGGTAGCAGAAAGAACAGTCTATGACTAGGGTGGCTGGAGTCATTGGCAATATTTAGGGCCTTCCTCTGACATCGTCTGGTATAGAGGTCCTGGATGGCAAGAAGCTTGGCCCCAGTGATGTATTGGCTGTACGCACTACCCTCTGTAGTGCCTTGTGGTCGGAGGCCGAGCAATTGCCATACCAGTTGGTGATGCAACCAGTCAGGATGCTCTCGATGGTGCAGCTGTAGAACTTTGAGGATCTGAGGACCCACTTCAAATATTTTCAGTCTCCTGAGGGGGAATAGGCTTTGCCGTGCCCTCTTCACATGATCATTTGTTGGTGATGTGGACACCAAGGAACTTGAAGCTCTCAACCTGCTCCACTACAGCCCTGTCGATGAGAATGGGGGCGTGTTATCAACCTAAGGATTAATTTCATACCCCTCACGTAGCTATAGCTCAAACACAGACCAAATCGAAGCTTACCTTGTAAGATGGTTTCTGTTTGGTGAAAGAATTGTGTATTATAAACATTATGACTCTCTGGGCTGGTAGTCAATAACGGTAGGTCACAGGCATACAAATAAGTCCCGGCTTTCGGTCTGTATAGATGTATTACATGTTTATATCCTTCATGCTTCACAACGCTAACCAGAATGTAGGTAGCAGCCATCTTGAAATGAGGTCATCGGCTCAGCCTGCCCTTATACATTCGTATGCCCATATATAAGTCACACCAAAGATTTTAAGCACAGATCAATAGCCAAGGTACTCAACTTTTGCAGAGAGGGACTAATCTAATAGGGTCCCCAAATATGGGGACTTTACATTTAAGAGGTTAAATGCGGAAGACACATTTTGGTTTAATACATTCAGTTGTGCAACTGATTAGGTACCCCTTTTACCCTCCCTTTTACAACGGAAGAGATTGACCAGGAAAAACTCTTGCTTTTGGACAACTCAACTATAGCCTGAAGATAAAGAAGAACATAAAAGCCTTACATGCAGTGAGTATTCTGTAAACGCCACCTTTTTTATATACGAGGGGAGGTCCTCGGGACACACACATGAATCCATA